CTCTAGACAAGTAAGAAAGTCTAAGTTCGGTTGGAGCCGAACACTAAATACCCGGCGCAAGTATTAAATATATGTTTTTTCACCTTTCCGAAAGCTACCGCTAGATGGTAAGCCGGGGTGTATCAATTTTGAGTAAATTAGCGTCCTTAAATTTCGAAATATTGAAGTTGCAAGCATTTCTGAAATTTACCGTTATATGAAAAACGGCCTAAATTTTAGTCCGATTTCAATAATTTTCGACGTTTTGCTTATATGTGGCAAGCATAATAACCACACCGAGTTTGGTACAAATTGGTAGAACGGTTACCGAGATACATATATGTGATCATAAGTGGGCGGAGCCACGCCCATTTTCCAAAATTTTATCATAAACGTATTTCTTGGTTAAGAGTTGTTCCAGGCATAAATTTTGAATAAATTAGCTTTTATATTTACTGATTTATCGAAGATTTTGTATTTCTCTAAATTACCGTTATATGGGATGTGGGCGTGGTTATTGTCCGATTTAAAAAATTTTCGGCCGTTTGGTATGGTGTATCAAGGCCAACAACTGTGCCAAGTTTGGAAGAAATTGGTGCAGCGGTTACCAAGATATACACATGTAACCATAAGTGGGCGTGGCTATGCCCATTTTCCAAAAATTTATAATATTCTTATTTTTTGTCTGAAAGTTATTGCAAATATCAATTTTGGGCGAATAACCTCCAGTAGTTACTAAAATATCGCAGTTTTCGTATTTCTGAAAATTACCGTTATATGGGATGTGGGCGTGGTTATTGTCCGATTTAAAAAGTTGTCGGCCATTTGGTATGGTGTACCAAGGCCAACAACTGTGCCAAGTTTGGAAGAAATTGGTGCAGCGGTTACCAAGATATAAACATGTAACCATAAGTGGGCGTGGCTACGCCCATTTTCCAAAAATTTATAACATTCTTATTTTTCGTCTGAAAGTTATTGTAAATATCAATTTTGAGTGAATTATCTTCAGTAGTTACTAAAATATCGCAGTTTTCGTATTTCTGGAAATTACCGTTATATGGGAAGTGGGCGTGGTTACATTCCGATTTCGCCCATTTTCAATACCAACCTACCTTGGATTAACAGAAACCTACTTACCAAATTTCGTTGTGATATCTCAATTTTTGCTCGAGTTATCGTGTACACGGACGCACGCACAGTGGGGTATTTGTCCCTGAAACTGTAGATCAATTCAAACGTACATTTCATTGAACAAATTTGGATTGATTAATATTATTTGCATCGTGTTTACTAAAAAAAAGTCAATTCCGAAAACAGCTTAGTGGGAAATTTTTTTTTTACGAAGGTTTACATAGTATTACCAAAGAGCAAATAAACTGAAAGTTATGTTGCTATTCTTATATTTATATGATTATACATTATTGCTACGGTTTTAAGCATCAGGAATAACAAATTAATAATCATCACTGTCACTACTACTATAATCATCAGTATCTGTACTATCAGATTCATCATTATCATCATCATCAGGATTTGCTGGAGGAGCTGATTTCAAAAGTTCCAAAGCTGTTTGCGGCAAGCTCTTAGATTTTTTTGCAGGTAATTTTGTTTTACTTGAAATCAATGGATCTGAAGTAACTAAAAATCTCTTTAATATATCCTCATTACATTTTGTTCGACTACTTTTGCGAGAAAAATGCTCCCTGTATCTTTTAAAATCTTTATTTCGAGCTTCCTGTGCTTCCTCTGATAGTTGGCCAATTGGAAGCAAAGCGTGTGCTATAATTTCCGGTCCGTGGATAAAGAATTTATGTAAAGTTGGAGTCATGTTATACCAGGGATAACATTGTACAAAGTATCGGGCAGTGTTTTGTGCAAAATCACGAAACTTCTCTATATCTATTTCATATCCCGAAGTAACCACCACTAATAATGTATGCATTCTTTTTATCAGCTCCAAGTCAACTTTCGTTATACTTGCAGATAGTTCTGCATTTTGGAAGAAACGTCTGGCTGTATTTCCATCATTACTATTTCCACATCCAGGTTTTGGTTGATCAATGATTAATCCAGCTTTTTCTCTAAACTCCTTTATTATTCGATTTTTATTTTCATTTACGACTTTTTTATCACTTTCTGATCTGGCTTGCCATTTCTTTATTGGTAACTTATATGACAAGTGAAGAAGGCATTCGAAAAACCTTATCCATCCGTGTAATGTAGATAGTCCAAATTGTAAATTTTCTATTTTTACCTCCTTTTCGATCATTTTGTCAATTAAATTAAATTCTCTACTCATTCCGCCACACAAGTAGCACTTTTGGGTAGAGGATGTTTCTGTTAAGGCATTGCAAACTTTTCCGTCTACCATTGATAAAATTAAAGTGTGTCTCACTTCTACAAAGTTATCGCCATACGGTACAATAGAGCAAGAAAGATCCCTTATCTCCTCTTCTACTCTATTTTTTTCTGCTACTGAAACTCTTGCGGACTCTTTTTCAAATGACATTCTCAAAGGTCTGCAAAATCTGGTGGAAGAGGGTCGAGGATTTTGCCATATTATTTTTTCCTCACAAACCAATTTAACTGGAACAATGGAAGTCATAAAAACCGATGAATCGCTTGCTTCTGCTCCATGGAAAGCTTGTTTATACAAACTATGACCTGAACTACCATCAAAGCCCCACTTCGTATACAAGCATAATTTAGACAACTTACTTTTATCTAGAGTGACGATAACTTCATTTTGAAGTAATAATAATCGTTCAACAGTGTGATTAAGCAGGGCTTGCAAGTCTACTACTGCTAAGTTTTCGAAAATATGAATGCTCTCAGTTCTAGGATAACATTGCTTCTTTGCAGATTGAACACCAGTGTATGAAGGAAATATTTTTGAAGCGGATTTTTTAACAACATTGTACTGATGACGAGTTAACTGAGCTTCAATCAACACAACTAATGCTTCTTCATTACTCATTTTCGTTACTTTTGACTCGTGAAAACTTTGTATATATTTAGAAGCCCTTGATGGAGATGCAGTTGTCAATTCATGGACAAGCTTTGATGCCTCAAGATTTCCTGAAGCTCTTAAATTTACCTGTGTAGCGAAAGCCAACATGGAAAGTGGAGTTTTTTCCCGTAGATCTTTAGTTTTTTTATATTTAGTGCGTTGATCAGATAACTCAAAGGATGTCTCTTTCCGACCACGCTTATTTCGTCGGCAGCTAATAAAAGCAATGCCCGAATCTAACCAACTACGATTTGCTCTGAAAAAACGCTCTTCTACTCTGTGTGATCGTGTCCAACGAGACTTAAAGTCCACGAAAAACATTCTCACTCGGTTATCAAATTCATCCATATTCTCATCTGTGGGCTTAAATCGTTTTTTCAACTCATCTTTTAAATATTGGAATCTTTCTTGAAAATTTTGGCAACTTGAGTTCCGCATAATATCATATAGGCTCTGGCGCGTTATACAAAGCGAATTAGAATTTACTCCTAAAATGGAAAACAATTTTTTTAAAGAAAACCCGAATTGAGTTGCATTCCCTTCCACCATCTCTAGCTTTCGTTTGTCAACACTTCTGTTATCTACGTGACATGTAGGTTGCTGACAATATTATTACAAGAACAGTCACATACATGCATGTAAAGAAGTTCCGTTCTACTTGTACATATGACACCCTCTATATTGAATTTGTGTTGCAATTTTTAATTTTATTTACCCAACTTTAACAGCTAACTATGATAATAATACAAAATATATGTAAACCTAAACAAAAAATCTAACAAAAATAAGGTTACGCAGTTATTAATTTTATCGTAAAGTTTAAGGGTAAACAAGAGGAAAAAACATTTACCTGGGTGCTGAATGTAGGGTTCATAAAGAAAACAACTTACCCGCAATAAGAACAACAACAAATAACATTAAATGACTTTGGTACATACATTTTTCCATACTTTAGTAAGCTTGTTCTTATATTATTGCAATGAGTTTATGATGAAAAGTTGAATATTTTAAAAAAGGCACAAAAGGGCAACTTTTTTTTTTGGATATTAGTCCAATATGCACAGATTATGGTAAATGCAAAATTATAATCTACACTCACGCACAAAAAAACATATGTATATATAAACATGAAAAATACCAATTTTTTTAAGGTTTAAAACAAAAATCAATTAAAAATATAAACACACTTTTTTTCAAACCCAAATATACAATATAAACACTTGAACTACCTGAGGTTGAAGGTTCCATATTAACTTTAAATCTTTCTTTGGAAATTATTACGAAAAAATACTTTAGTCACCGACGAAATTACACAAATCACCTCTTGCTAACAAACTTGTTATAAATAGTCAACTTTGGGAGCTTAGTGTTGGAAAACGGTTAAGGATAGAACAAAAATACTTTAAGTTAGTGATGTGAAATATTGTCTAATTTTACGTGGTACCAAATACTTTAAACATATTTCAATTTCATTTTTTGAATTAATTCGCTAAATCAGTGTGAAATAACCCAGTGTGGCACGGACAGACATACATGGCTTAACCGATTTCTCTTTTCATTCTGAGCATTTATGTATACATTTGTCTATATGTATCTATCTCGATTCGTTTTGGCTGTTACACAAGTGCGCTCGGGTATAAAAATTACACGCACAATGACAAACATGAGCAAATGTACAACAAACATAATTTTTGACAATCAGTACAGTCGCATTTATATCAACGAGCAGCTTATTAGATTTGTTTTCGTTTGTACTACATATGTTCATATATACATGTACACAAATATACGTACATACTAGGGATGTTGCGAATGTGAAATTTAAGACATCCGCGGATGCGAAGTATTTTTAAGAAATAACCAGGTAAGTAAACTAAATTATTTAGGTAAATAAAAAAATTTAAAAGTTAGTAATTTTTATTGTTTAGTTTACTTAGCACTTCAATTTAAAAACTTAAAATTTTATTTAATAAAAAGTAATGAGAATTTCATCGGTGCTGCAAATGTCGGATGTATCCTCCTGACTTTCATGTTCACTTGAAAAATCTAGCATAATGGTGAGATCGTTGTTTCAACAGCGCTTACAAACCAAACCAGATGCGTCAGGTTTTTCTGAAGCTTTTTTAAAAGAATCCTTCATTCTCATTCCTTTAGCAGTTTCAGAATTTGGGGAACTTGTAACGTCATTAGATCGTCGATTTTAGTTGTTGTAATTCATTTTTAATGGGTCTTCTGCGACTGGTTTGAAGAATTTGTGCATATAGCGAGCTAGATAGGTGGATATGGAAAATAAATTATTATTTTCCAGGAATGAAAATTTTGAACAAAATTCTATTTCTAAGATACTGGCTGCCAGCCGAATCGGATCAGAATATTGTTATTTCTTTAAAAAAAGCACCCATTTTTTGTTATAATCATTTGAATTATTGGAATCACGAATGATGAGGGTTTCAGATAGTAACGTAATTCTTACCTAATTAAAGGTCGGATCTATAGCTTTTTAAATATTTCATCATCGATTCTCTTTATAGCTAAATGTTGAAGATTTTAGCTGGAAATCCCTATTGTAGGAGCTTAATCTTTCACTTTAAATAGCAAAGAAGGGAGACGTAGGGGGAGAGTTTTACCACAGAGGCCTTTAGGCAAGGATCCAATGTACATATTTATCTATGAAAAAATATTGCCCGACAAGTAAACAAAATTACTGTTTTTAAAATTTTTCCTTAAAATAAATTCCCCAAAGAGCCACATTTGAAATAATTGAAACGAATACATCGTCAAAGACGTAATAACACCATAACTGATGTGGGAGTTGAAATTCGATTAAATCCACCACATCAATCAAAAACTGAATTTTGAATTTTTTATTAGTTACGACTTTTTGTATTTCAGCGAAGAAGTTTGTTATGTCTTTTTGCATTTCAGGTGACGATATGTAACATCAAGAGCAAATAACGACAATTTGGTTTAAAATTACAGTGCACACTTTCTTCTTTTATGTCTAGTAGTTTTTTTAAGATTGGTCCAAAAAAAAATCATAATAAAGAAAGAAATGCAGGTATTTAAAGAAGAGAAAACAAAAAATATATATTATTAAAAGGACTATGTTCTCATTGACGTACGTCAAAGGTCAAGTAGAAGTGGGAACTTGTATAACTGCTCGATTATATAGCTTAAGAAATAATAAGTTTAAAGACATTTTTATCAAAGTTGATAAATATGACATTTGACCAGTTTTGTTACACAAATACTCCAACGACCACAGGAAAAAAGTATTGGCTACAATTTGTCATTTTGTTTGCCAGATATACGTTTTATCGGTGCACTTGCACAACATTCGCATTCGCAAAAGCTCCGCATTGATTATTACGAATGCGAAAGAGAATGCGAATGTTAAAATTAATGCGAAAGCTCTGCGGTTGCGAATGCGAATATTCGCAACAACCCTGGTACATACATGCAAATATATATACAACCATTCAAACATATGTATGTACATTAGTGTGGTCCAAAAACGCATGTGAAAAAGTAAAGTCGGAATTTTTGTGCTCTCACCCCCCAGGATTGCTCCATACCGAAAAAAATATACCCTTATTTTTATACCCGAGCGCACTTGTGCACAAGGGTATTATAACTTTGTTCACATAACGGTTGTTTGTAACAGGCAAAACGATTCGAGATAGATATAGACAAATGTATACATAAATGATCAGAATGAAAAGAGAAATCGATTAAGCGGTGACTGTCTGTCCGTCCGTCCCTCTGTGCACACGATAACTCGAGTAAAAATTGAGATATCTTAACGAAACTTGGTACGTGAACTTCTTTTGGGCGTGGGACGGATGGTATTGAAAATGGGCGAAATCGGATAATAACCACGCCTACCTCCCAT